ACAATAATCTCAATGTATCAAATTAAAAGACATTATGAATCACCTGCTGGCCTAAACTTTGGCATAGCTGATTTTCGATACATAAACTGTCAGAATCCCATATAATTAAAGTCAGGATAACTACAGCAACCAATGATGTTTAGCTAGAATTTCAATCAACCAGCCCGCAGTCCAGTTCTAGACTAGAATCTTTAACTGGTCACAGTGTCAACATGAGGAAGGAGTCAAAGTGCAAATTACCTGCAATTTGACATTTTACCTTTATAATAAGTATTAAGTTATTATAAGTTAAGTAATAAGACCCCCTTCGGACATGTATTACTACATACTGATATGTTTTTCCTGTAAAAAAAAAAGTATAATTTCCACATTAAAAAGGCATCTACACCTTCTGCCATAATATAAATTCCAGAATCTGTGAATATTTAAATCTTGTATGTATGTATGTATATATATATATATATATATATATATATATATACATACATATATATTTTCTGCAAAGTTTGGACACAAGATGTCTCCTACTTAATTATTCGCTCATTCTCAGTGTATGTGCACTGATGACCTCAGGTTTCTACATTGCATTTATATAAGTTGCATACTGGACCAGGGTTGAATTCCAAATGATCTGTTGCCTGCCCCCCTTCAAATCCCATTTTTAATGACACACTTTGAGCCAATGAATGTGAAAACACACTGAAGTGAAGCTCAAACATCCAATTGTAGGAACAAGAAGAAAAACATATTTTTGAGCGGAAATTATAGTGGAGGCCATAATTATAGTATAGCCTTACACAAAATAACAAAGGCTAAGAGATATAACCCATGAAACATTTAGGAATCGTTTCCATTTCTTTCGAGCCAATGCATCATTTTCTTTTCATTATCTGAGTATTAGTCTGAATCTTTTGAGAGATGCTGCAGATTGCTTTTGAAATGAGATTGAATGCTTCTTTGCTGACAAACTTTTGTTTTTAGCCTTGTTAAGTAACAGCCCTGTGTTTCACAGTACCTGTGCCTCCTGGTCCCCCGCTAAGTAAATCAATGTCCCAGAGGTCATCGTTTGCTGAGTTCTTGTCTTTCTTCTTCTTCTTCCTGGAGGGATCGTCTGGAGGCTTCAGAAGGGACAGTTCCTCTGATCTTCTGATGTCTGAGATGGAGCGAACAAAAGAGAGATCAGGAAGAATATGGATGGAAGCTGAGTTTTAATTTTAGATCAATGGAAGATGTTTCTGTACAAAGACACACTGTATCATAACAAAAGCAGCAAGGACAAAGTGACGAAGGACAGAGAATCTCACTGAGTATTCGACAGATCTCCCCCACCGCCTTGAAGACCACACTGGAGAAGCTGACGGTCAATTTGATGGTTTTCATATTGGGGAGCTGCAGTAACAGGGGTTTGTGCTGGGGTGTATAGCGCAGGTCAGCATCAGCCTGTGTGAAAAATCATTGTTTTTTAAATCATATGAACCAAACCTCTTTTCCTTTCTTACTGTGGTGATTTTTTCAACCTTAGCTGGGCCTAGAGGAACGTCCCCTGTCCCTTTATGTTTGCTTTTTTCTTTTAATATGTGTGGAAAAGTATGTACACAAAGGTGCGATGGCCCCTGTGGGTCTTGAACAGTCATGACAAAGGATATATGTCGATGCTCACAAATGCAATGTAGGTAATGGAAACAAAAAATAGATAGTGAGGCAATTTTTGAAGGAGATGTTTTTCTGCATTCATTTGGTTGTTATCATTTTGTTTACAGTTTGAATCTTCACTACTACTCTAATGCTTGGCTGTACAACATGCGGTTGAATTATAGACCCAAGAGGTGGTTCAGGCTGGGCTGACAAAATTAAACCATGGCTCTCCCTGCCTTAAGGAGCTGCAAACACACACACAATTGAATTCCTATGGTTTAAACTGGAGTATTTATTGTGCCAACGGCATTAAAACAGTTTTTTCCTTTGCAGAAATACATTTCTTGGGAAATCATTAAAGCTCAGCACAATTATAAAATAGATTAAATCACTTTGGCATCTACATATTACCTGAATTCCATACTTGTCCAAGGTCCAGTGTGTCTTGAGCAGCCAGCATTTCCTCTGTTCCCACCACAGGGCATGGTCTGACCAGTCCTGAGGAGCTTCTGCACACAGACAGATTAAGTAAAACATATTACTACCATTATTACTGCCATGTTACTGTCATATCTCAAGTTTAAAGGGCGGCTCACACCCAAAATTATTGCACACATTTACATGTCAGGTTTAAAGGGGCTTGAGGTGGAGCTCTGGCTTTATAACGAAAATACTTCAACAGCCACTACATCTGCTACCAACACAAACACTTCATATACCCAGTGTTGAGTAGGTGGCTGAGCATGATTAAAGTGTGGTTTTATGAGTCTACCTGACATCATGTTTTGGTGCTGGGCTGAAATCCGTTCGTTGATGACAAGCTACTTAGTCATCTATTATGTCTCATGCTCTTTAAACCACCTTACTAAAGTTGCCTTCATGTTATATTAGCTCCTCCGCTTTTATGGAGAACTGTAAAGAGATATCAGACCAAATCCTAGCTGAACTTTGGCCCGTAGGGCTACACAGGCCAATGCATTGTGACAAAACAATGGCGCTGCAGGGTAGAAAAATGCAGGGCAAACAAGGGTGCGGCTTGACTAACAGACTAGTTGTGGCAGCAGGGGAAGATTGAGGTAACGTGCTTAAAACAAAATCAAATGGATGTACACTTTACACCAGGTAAACAAACACAAACTGCTTTAAATGCTAGCAGTCAAATGAGGAAGAGAAATGTATTGTCAATGTGCAAGGGCAATAGAAATCTGTGTTTCCTCTTAGTGTTTCTCTCAAGTTACACATAAATTCCTTCACAGGGGTCACTGCACAAGACCAGCAACCATGCAGCATTCCTGGAGACATTTGGGGGTTTAATGCCTTGCTCAAAAGTACCTAAATTAGATGCTACACACGCTGACAGATTATAGTATCACCCATCTGAGACACTTACTGATCTTCTCCACTAGCTTAAGCATGAGGCCTCCAATGTGCAAGTCTCCCTTCACCCTCAACTTAAATTTCATGGACTCATCTCCAGCTTTTTGATCCACCTGCACCGACAGCTCCCATGATGTTTCTCCATGCTCTGCGGCTGTGATCATGGCCCTGTTATAAAACGACAGAGGTGGGACAGTGCATGGATTATAGACAGGATGCTCCTGAGTTTAGATATTGCCATCACAGAAACAAAAACCTACTGCTGTAGCTAGTTAATTACATGGTGGGGGAAACCTATTAAAATATGTTGATTCTTTTCTTGCTTTCTTGTGTTTGGAAGATTAGGAAACATCTGGGATGAAAACATGAGTCAGTGGATTAAGTGTTTCTCAGTATCCGGTGGGAACATCCAAATTTGGCCAGAAGTTAACAAACACGGATGTCTCTGTGTCTCTGTTATTAGTGGCCACCAACAGCACAGATTCTCACCCCGCTTCTTCTGCAGTATCTCTGCAATGATACTGCAGCCCCCGAAGTACTCCTCTCACCCCATACAATTATAAATAAGATATCAGCGAACACACAGACTGGCAGATGTACTGGCTGGTGCCAGCAGGGAAAAAAGAGATGAGCAGACTGCAGACATAACACAGCTGTATAGCTCTGCACATAGAGGCACAGATATGGTGGAGGATTGTTGGATTTTGATTATGAGAAAGAGTGAGTGGATGAAAGACATCAGGCAGGTAAGAAAGAGGAGAAGAGCGGGGGAGGAGGAGCAGGGAGGGTACAGCTGTGGAATGTGTGACGAGCAGGGACACGACTCTGGTACAGCGGAGACCATGCAAAACAACAATCTCCACACACTGCACCAGCCCCCCCCTCATTTCACATCAGAAATCTGAAAATGTAGTGGACAAAGAAATGCAAACTCACACACGAACTAGTCTAGACTGGGGCTATCAGTAGAGAACAGAGTGGAAGCATATACTGTGTGAAACTGTGCAGAGGTTAGGATTAATGAACACACTCTGCTCCCTTTGAGCTGCTCCCCTCCCTATACAGCTGTAGGGTACAGTTAACAGTTAGAGCTTGCATGTCGGCTGGGGAAGGCTTGTTGAAATGTGTTGGTAAGAGATGAGTTGACTCTCACAGTATTACACTAGCTGCAGAAAAAAGACCAAAAAAGTGATGGAAAGAGCAATGATGTAATTTGGGGCTAATGAAAATGCAAAGAACTGAAAATAAAATATATTTTTCATGCAAAATATGCAATGTTTTAAAAGGATTTTTGAGGCAACCAATGTGGATTCTGTTTAGGAGATTTTAGTTTCAATTTGAATCTACTATTTCTAATTTACAGGTGAGAATTTGAATGTTTAATAAAAAATGTTTGAAAAACTAGAGGAATGCATCACTGGAAAAAGACACACAAATACAACAACCTCCTTTTTACAGTACAGCTACAAACAAGAGACAATGTCCAAAAGCACCATGGATTTCTTCTTATTGTTAGAACCATTCATATAAAGGCTAATGGTCTGAAATCCAACCAACTGTGATGGCAGTGAGCCCTGTGGCAAGGACTAGGCCTTTCTTTTGAGCCATAAACAACACAACTATTGCCTTTTATTAATCACAGAAGGCAGTACAGTGTCAGCCCAGCCTTACAGAGCAATAGTAGTACAATAAAAACAAATCAACCATTAACTTCATTCTGTGTAGGCCAACCACAGACCCATTGGGCCATATTAACGATATGTGATATGTTTCGTCCGGGTTGTGATAGGTCTGCTAATCAAACCAACCTGGCTAATAATAACGCGTAAATCTAACGATAACGGAATTAAAAGGATTTAAAACCACTCTTACCTTGGTGAAAAGTTTGTCTCTCGGTAAGCTATTCTTAGAAATTTCCTGTGAAGTGAAATGAACCAGGAATGAGGCTCCTTCGGGAATAAAACACGCCCAGTTCAGACAGGTAGAGAGGAGGTGGGACCGTTAGAGGAATTGGGCAAGTTACAAAAACAAAGGTGAGTTTGTTCACAACCTTTCTAATGTTTGGGATTTAACCAAATTTTGCAGGGCTGTACATTGTAGTGGACTCCATAAGACAGACAGAGCTGGTCTAAAAGTAGCCTCATGAGTACCCAAAAAAATCAATGAACCAACCAATGGCCAGCAGATGTTAACCTCAGTTTATGTTAATAACATTACTCTATTACAGTGTGTTAGCTTCATGACAACATAGCAGTAAGCTAATCTAACTTGGAAAACCTTTCTGACCCTAAACTGTTATTTACTTTTGGTCCATTTGTTTTAACTTTAGGTGAATTTTATACTACACTGAAAGCACTTTGAAGCAGAATATTTTGTTTTGCTAGGCTAATGCTTATATGTAGCAAAATATAGTATTAGTACGCTAATGCTAGTAGTTAGCATAGCAAAACAAAATACTTGTCTTTTGTTTCTTTTCTAAAATAGTATCACTTTAATAATATAGTGATAATACTAATAAAGTATTATTTTATTTGGTCGGGTCTTTCACTGGCTGGACTATGACCACGACTGACTAACCACCAGAAAGACTTGACTGACTTGTGAATGTATATTTAACGAGCATTCAACACTCAGACTGTAAGTCAAGTAAAGTTAAATATTAAACAGTCCTCCAACTTTATACATTAAGGTCAGTTTACCAGTCATTGGGAGTACTACTCAGCCAGTTCGACCCATACTGGAAATAAAGTGCAATGCCAAATTGCTGTAATACTCGTCCTTTACTAAGAAAGTAAGAAACAATACCAAATACAAGCAGCAAATAATTGCCCTATACTTACACAAGTTTGCCCTGTTTGTCCAACTCCAGTTATACAGGATTGCGTTGGGATACTTTCTAGGTAGGTACAGTTAAAATATCATATCAGGGTTGTTAAATGGTTTTAAAGAGACAACATGATGAATAATAGTTTGCCACAGATGAATCAGCCCACCTTTCTTAATGCCCACATCCTGCCCAATGAGTAAATCAAGATGAATCACTTTGTCTTTTCCACACAATGATATTGTCAGCTTACGAAACTCCAATAACACATCAATAAAATTGATGGTTAGGACTTTTACCATTTGTACAGATGGCGCTCTCCTGACAACCAGCGAGGCACACTAAATTATAGCCAATTTTGTAGCTCTAAATATGTAGGTGTGTTTCTTAAGCAGTTAGTGCATGACGTGTGCTTCTCTGTTACAGCCACTGGGTAATGAGGCGAGCCCATGTGTGAAGCCTGCCACCCCCTGGTTTCTATTGGTAAGCTCATACATTATCTTTTTGCCTTGGCTGGTACTTGAGCAAAATGCATTTGACGATCTAGATAGTATCAGCCATGTGTATTCAAATGGAAAACACACATGAGATTACAGGGGGTAATTAGGCAGCTTGAGCCCAACTGTTGAAGATTAAGTTACATTTTTTCTACTTTGAATAAATGTCAACCTCCATATTGTGAAAGATTCTGCACACTGTCACCACACTCTTTATTCATAATGCGACATTTAAATCATAGACTTTTGTCAGGCAGCCAATTCCTAAATTACATAAATTTCTTTCACATGATTTCATTTTCCTATGCACCTCTCCACCAGGTGTGTGTCAGACCACACTCAGTTTAACCTCCAAACTGTAGAAAGAGAAAAAATAGAGAGAGACACAGAGCTGTAGGTTTGTACTCTTTTAAATGTCCATGATAGCATTTCCTTTCTTAGTCAAGCAATCCAAAAAGTCTTGGTGGACAAATATATTTTTAGCTGATTAGTCATTGTTATGGTAATTTAATGGGCAATAAGCTATTAGTTATTAGTCATCCTGTAACTGGAAAATGATCGTCATATGTCTAGTATCATAGTAACATTCACAAATACTATATGCTTTGGCCTTGTTGTATTTTTTATTTTTTATTCTTCTACATGACTGCATTCACTTGCAGGGAGACATTAATTATTATTTCCTACAAAATCAGCCAACTAATAAGTAATACCTACTCTTAGTAAACACATTACTGTAATGAATTTCTGTTGCTGCCACATAGTGGCGCTATTAGACCATACCAGAGTTGGAGGAGAGAAAGATCCTTTTTGAGAGAGTGGTGCTGCATGTCTTTGTCGAAGGAATAGGCCGCTGTTTGCTGTTAACTCTAGCTCTTTGGATGTGTGTTTTATGGAATGCACTGAACCATAAAGGTGCTGTAAAGGACACATTCAAGTAGGTTTTCAAATTAAAAACATCTTCATCATCCACGTCATCACAGGAAGAAAGCACTTACCACTCAAGTTAACACAACATGAAAATACCCTTTAAAGGAACATGGAAATACAAATGAAAGACTATTTTTGAGTCATTTTCAATGATCTGCCCTGGCTTCATGCCAGAAAAGCTACCACAAACCATCTCAGGGGAAGTCTGGAGTGGTGTCTCCTTTTTTCTGATGGATAATTTCATACTTCATTGATTAAATGTTGAACTTGTCTCTGCCCATCCAGGGAGGACAGATGTCAGAGTTAGCTGCAGAAGAACTGCCCTAGAATTTGTAAGAACACAGTTTGGGTGCTTACTGCTTACCAACACAAGGGCTTAAAACTGGGCGCTCCACTTTAGGGACAGTTTCTTTGACCACTTGATAATTTTGACCACACCCTACAGATTAAGTGTAGCAAACATGCCTGTGAGCCAGTCTAAGCTCTCTGTTCCAGCTGAGGGTTTAGTGCTGGCATATGAAGTCGTCTTGAGTCCTTGTGTAAGAGAGGAAATGTAAATTCCATGACAAAAACAAACAAATAAACCCTGAGCCTCATAAACTGTGTCATTGGTGGACAGAGACACGGAAAATAACATCATTTGGACCTGTCAGGCCTGGATGGAGTACAGACAAAGTAACACCATGTCCATGTCATCGTGACACCTGTGGTTCTAATGGCAACGTAGTGCGCACAGTTCAAGCTAAAGGAAAGGACAAATATCACCTTACTTTTACTACAGTGCCTGGGAGAATGATAAAATGTAGTCTTAAGAGTGATGAGGAGAGAGAGAAGGAAAAATTTTGGACTGTGGTTTTAGACACAATAAATTACATCGACTGCCTGAAGCGGGTCTGAACCTACTTGGAAGCGGGTGGGAAAAAACATCTGTAGAAGCCTTTGCCGGCTTTCTGTATTTATGGAAAGAGAAACCTCCTGGTGACCTGGGAACACGCTTACCCAATTAGCAGCCTCGCCGACGGATCAAATGGAAGTGAAAACATTCACTGCCGTGACGGAGACGCATCACAATGCCCCATTCATGCTGCCGAGCCCCATGCTTTTGGGGTGAGGTGAGGGAGTGGGGGGGTTGTTCTTCGAGGGATGTAGTGGAGAGGTGGGATAGGCGAGAGGGAGTAATGAATGCAACAAGAACCGAACCTACCTCACCACCTTCTTTGACGTGTAGATGGAGGCCTCATTCATGACTTAATACGGGTTCGGAGGTAAACACTGTTCAAAGGTGTTGTTTTCATAAGGTTACTGACCACTACTCGCCTTGGCGTTCCACATCCCCTTCACCTCAGCCCCTGCATCCCCTTGAACGCTCCCACCTCTACAACCCAACAAAACCTCGGGTCTTATCCTGTGGGACTCGGACTGAGGGGTCTGAGAAACAGCCCTAGAGGATAGGTTCTGGGCTCTGGGGGACAAAGGCTACACTGCCTTATGGATTGCAATCTGTTGCAGCTCTGATTCATTTACACTGTTTGAGCCATGTTTCCTTTTTATTACTTTCTTTTTATAATGGGTATACTGATTTATTCTTCAGCCACTGACCTTGATAGCTACCATGAAGTTCCATAACATTTCCAGTCCAAATAGAAGAATAAAAGTCAAGAAAGGACAACCTGCACCTGGCAGGTTATTTGTTCTACAAATGTCAGTGTAATGTGAAATTCTGTCGTGATGAGAGTCATGCAAACCAGGTGTGATGGTCAGGAGAGGTTCTATGACTTAGAGCAGAGTGATTGACTAAATATAGACTGAATGTGTTGATAAAAGTGCTTGTATTTCCCTAAATATTACCGACCTCTCCTCACATGCAAAAAAAGGCTCAGTATAAAGGCTCTTTTATTTCTAAAATTAATTGTTTATTTATATGGGTGGAGCCATTGGTGTTTCTGTAAATGGTGTCTTATGTCCTTGCTTGTGGGTGTTTCCATTAAAGCTTATAAAAATGTTACCAAGACAGGGCCACTGCTAATAAAATTATAAATACAAAAAAAAAGTTTCTAAAAAAGTAAAAAAATAAGTTAAAGCATGCAGAAAGCTCATGCATTTTCAATTACATTTGAACTTTCCATACAATACAGCCAAGACGGATATTCCCTTTTTTCTCTTCACCTCTCCTTGCATGGAAACATCTGACAGAAATAAAACTTTTCATGGTGTCAGGTCAGATAGCCATAAATACAGGTTGTCAGCGCAGTGTGACCCTCACATCTAGTGGAGAGGCTGTTCTGAACCGTGGTTTGGAACAGGATATCACATGTTTAAATATTGCACTTCTTTCTGAAAAGTGGCTACTGTAAAACAACTTCCATTACAGAGTATCGCTTTACCTGTCACCGGCAGTATTTCATCCCTTTGCTGCCCAGAAACATAAAAGATATAGATGAACACAACCATATGGATAGATGGTAATCATTCACCTCAGGCAGATACTCTGCTAGTCCAAAATTGAAAGAAAGACAGATAGATTGCCTTTTTTTTCAGATATTAAGCCTGCTGAGTTCACTGTCCTTTTTGTTGGCAGAATTCATGATTAAATGCTGTCGCTCAAATCAACTGTGTATCCTTCTTTGTTTTTTTCAGCAGGTGTGCATGGAAGTTTGAAGCAGCTGGCATTTTTGTTTCTGTGTGAACATCAAATGTGTTGAATAAAGCCATATGAAATGCAGTGACTTTTATTAGTTTTGTCGGAGCACACAGAGAGACAGTGGGAACACTGCCCATATTCTGCTAAAGATAAAATACCACTTTTCTTGCAGGTCCCGTATGCAGAGGATGTTGGTCTGGATCTGGCCACGTGCTCGGAAGCGTTCACATGCCATCCAGACACGTCCTGTGCTACAGTGCAACATGGAAGAAACAACCTTTGACACTGGCCTTGAAGTTGCCGTGACTGATCTCACAGGTACAGCGTAAGAGGAAGCAGGGCGTTGTGTTCCTTTCCTCCCCACATCAATTTGCCAACTGGTTGTGAATGGGTGCCATTTTGAAATATGCAAATGTTGGTAGCCTCTGCCTGTATCAGCTGATGCAGGTCAGTGTTGTTTTTGGCCAGGCTTTAAAGCCCCGAGGGGAGAAAGACGTACTGAGAGTTAGAAAAGGTCGCATAAACTCTAGCGGGATTACTTTACCAACACTTTCCATGGCTGAGATCCTGTGAATGGATCCATTGTGGGGTGGGTCTCTGCTCGCGGAAAGCAAACCCTGTCAGGATCCAGTTCATTAGCACCTAGTTTACTGTTTGAAGTTAGTTATTTATCCGGTGTCTAAAGGGGAACCCCGTTCAGACATATGTAAGTGTGTGTTTATGTGTTTGTGTGTGTTTGTGTGTGTGTGTGTGTGTGTGTGTGTGTGTGTGTGTGTGTATGTGTGTGCGTTCACGTGCGCGTGTATCCATGCGTGGGCATGTAATGTGTACTTGTACAAACGCACAGTACTCATAGGATCTACAGGGGGTTTCCAGAGCAAATTGCTCAAGAGCAAATAAAACTTTCCATGGCGCAATAAAATGTATGGAGAACGAACAGGAGGGACATTGGTGCAGTTCTGAAGGTGGGAAACAACCTTGAGAATTTGTTGAAAAAATATATACATAAGGGTTTGATATATATGTTCTGACAGCCAATGACCTTGACTCTATAAATAAAAAATAGTACCACAAACATAGGAAGTTTGAAATGTTAAACAAAGTACATTTATATTACATTGTTATATTTTTCATGAGGCATATTTCCTGAAAAATTAACATTCAGGTTGTATTACATAATTTTAGCTATTGAATATGAAATGGAATTGGTGTTAGTAAACAGCGCTTGAAACACTGTTTACTTGTGGAATAACACTGAAGCAGCAGTCGTCCTTCCTCCTCTGTGTTATTCTACTGTATTTCAAACTATAAAGTTTGCCTCTGTGTATTTTCTTTTTTCTTTTGTGATCTGTTTGTTCTTTGGAAAGCGTCCCTGTGCCTCTGGTCAGACAAAAGTGCCGCGTTGAGCAAAACCTCCACTCCACTTTTATGGTCTGTGTGGGCCGTCCTATTTGTACATGCTTAGAGCAAATTAGACCAGCAGCTGCACATGGCCGTCCCATTCCATGTTGGCTTTTCATGATAAAAATATGCTTCGGTAAACCTCGCAGCTTGGATCCAGAAATATGCGTCCCGTTTCTTCTGGCACTGACACCTCTCCCTATTTACAATCAGCACTTCCCTTTTCCGGCACAAAAAGAGAAAGACATAAGGAAACAGAGAGACAGAATGGGGGTGGGAGTAAATGAGAGGGGTGGAGAGAGAAGGAGAGCGGGGCAGAAAGAAAAAGAGGGACCACCTATGCAGATGTTTTCCACATGTAGAAGGAAAACAAGCAGCAGCAAGATGAGCATGAGGAGAGGGAAGAGAGAAGGCTGCACCTGTTGTGGGGTGATGATCTGGCCACGGGTGACATCAGTCCTTGTAACGTGTCATGCTGCTTGAGTTATTAACTAACTACAAGCCAATGAAGGCTCTTTGTACTCATTTCAGAATAATATGTTCTCAGTTCACTTTGAGGCAGTTTGGAGATTTAAATAAATAAATAAAAAACATGGTACAGTACATTTTTAATGTAGATTGATTAAATTGTCATTAAAGGATAGTCTGTAAAACAAGACGTGTAAGCTACAGAATAAGTTTGATTTCATAAATGATGTGCCAGCCCATTTTTTGATATGATTTGACTTTCTAAACATTTCAAAACGGTTATTTAAAGGGAAACATTCATTAAAATGAAAATAGTAAAATTTAAATATAAAAGCACAAGTTTAGTTTTGTGAAATAAGTATCAGAATTTTACAAAGTCCTTTATTTCCTACATCTTGAACTAAATTGAAAACTGTTGTGAGATGACCTCTGACTTGAACGTGACACATTCTGAAATTAAGTACTTTTTAATATTTATATCAATATCACACACCTGCCTGATTTCCATTGATCAGTCAAGTCTCCCTTTATGTCTAGGGACAGTTGGGAAAAGTGGTAGGTAAATATAATTTCTGACAGTGTGACAGGAATAAGGAATAGTCCCCCGCTCGGAATTGAGTTCTTAGGCTAATCATCCATGATTACAGCACTGGAAGCCAAAACACACTCAATGTGAAAGAGGTTGTTTTCATCTGCATGCTGCAGCAGCACGGCTGGCTGACAGAGTTACCTATTCTCCCGAGGGCTCTCACTCTCCTTCTGCTTCTATTGGACTGGCCCGCAGCAGGTCTTGTAGCCCCTGGGGACTGTCCTGGGAGACCTGGACAACATTGGCAGCAGGCGGCTTAGGGGTGTCATTTCTCCCTGGTAAGCTATGGACAAAAGCATCTCTTGTTGTTGCAAGCTGTATGTGGTGCTGCTTTCCCAGCCCTGTGGAAAGGAAAGGACAGCCAATGACCAATGCCAAACAAACCTGCTCCAGCTCACCTGTGCAGTGAATGTGGAACCGAGTGACCCAGATCTGGATGGAAACCATTGCAAATATTTCCCAGCAAGGTCTGTGGAAGAAGCATTTAGCTGGGCCTCTCAGCAGGGAATTTAACTAACTGTAAATGACTCTGACTCCCTCCAGTTTGTGTCATCTGTTCCTAAGAAGTAGTAAACAGTTGGTTTACCATCAAACCATCAGCACATAGCTCAGTGCGATGCAAGGTGTGGACTGAAGTCTAGTAAAACTTCAATGCCTCCAACGATTGTGTGTTTATCTCACCACTCGCTGAAGAATTTATTGCACAAGAGAGTAAGTTATGAGAATGACAATGTGATTAGAAGCAGAGTTGTTGATGAGCAGTGAATCTGTTTATTGTCATGTCTGTTCAGTTCTGCTGGCAAGACAAACCTCTTTTTGCCCAAACTACAGCTCAGTTTAGAAGCGTAGGCCATTCTGCAAATATTTGGCTTGGCCACAGAAATTGAATTATATTGGCACAGAAAGCCTAGAAATAAAAAACAGCAACCTTGGGAACAATTATGCAAAGTGAAACGCGGTTAAACCAAGTGCTACTGGTTTTCCTTTCCATCCAAGAGGGAAAAAAAGGAAAAGTCTGCTTTAGCAAAGTTTATCTCCCTTAATAAATATGTTGGAGCATTTATCCTTGCCATGGAAGTTGTGGCTATAGCTCATTTTTGTAGTGTTATATAGCTTCTTGGCATTACACACAGCCTTAAAAGTGAACACATCTTCTAGGAGTTCAGTCACATGAACCCAAAGCTGTGGTGACTTGATGGTCCATTTCAACCACAGATAAAACCCCATAACAAATAGCATTTAATAAATGTTTAGTCTGTTACCTCAGAACATGTTATGCTCTGACAACACAGGAAATATCCGTTGAGATAAACAGCAATTATTTTCTGCTTCTGTAATGAAATAATTTGAGGTTGATTTATGCGTAGTATTAATTTATTTGCTCTATCATATTAGTGACAATGCTGTTCAACCAGAGACCAGATTTTTTTCAGCTGTGGATGACACAAAATTGAAATGGTCAACGGCTAGAGGTAGATATCTTTAGAAGGCTTATAGCCCGCTTACCTGCTGAAATTGAACAATTCAACTCAGAATGATCCCAAGGAGTGCTAAGGCATTGAGTGTTTCATTTGGATCACATTATGAATCCTTAAAGGGGAACTTCGGCAGATTTTTACCCTAGTCTTGATCACTAGAGGTCACCGAGTACTGTCGATAGGAACAAGAACGTGGTTCTAGCAAACTGGAGATCCTGCAGCTAATGGCCAGAGCTCCCAGTTAGTTATAATACACTTTTTGGGGGCATATCCTAAAGAGTGCCGTTTGCTCCTATTAACAGACACAAAATGCAATTAAAATGTCTGTGCAACATAATCAGGGCCCTTACGTGACAACAACATGCCTTTTCAACTCATACATTGTGCTAAAACCGTACTAAACAGTACTGTCGCCTACCTGTTTTTCCACCGCTCGCTTCACCGAAAGCCCAGAATAATCGATCACGGAGATAATGCCTTCACGACGAAAAAAAGTTTATTTCCCCCTCAAAAATGTCCATGTCTTCACACACTACTCTCCGATTTGCACACTTCCTGCAACAATTTCTTCTTCTGCGTTTACCTGCAACAAGTGAAATCCCACGGGACTTAAGTACGAGTCCCGTGGGATAAACGAAGAGATTGTTGATCGGAGGTGTTTACAAGGGAAGAAGCTTGAGGTTCAAGGTTCAAGTGCCTACTAGGGGAAATAAACTTTTTTTCGTCTCTAAGGCATTATCTCCGTGATCGCATAGTACTTGTATGGGAGTTTGCACATCCAGCTGTAGTAACTAACTAGCCACAACTGCAGTATCTCATGGTTATGGAAAGGTAGACGATGAAAGTGTAGGCACTTGAACCTTCTCATTCTGTTGCCACCATTTGGAAAGGCACAAACGCGAACCATTTCTTCTCCACAGTAGATCAACACACGTTATTATTACTCCAAGCTTCTTCCCTTGTAAACACCTCCAATCATCAATCTCTTCTTCTTCTGCGTTTATCCCACGGGACTCGTGCTGAAGTCCCGTGGGATTTCACTTGTTGCAGGTAAACGCAGAAGAAGAAATTGTTGCAGGAAGTGTGCAAATCGGAGAGTAGTGTGTGAAGACATGGACATTTTTGAGGGGGAAATAAACTTTTTTTCGTTGTGAAGGCATTGTCTCCGTGATCGATTATTCTGGGCTTTCGGTGAAGCGAGCGGTGGAAAAACAGGTAGGCGACAGTACTGTTTAGTACGGTTTTAGCACAATGTATGAGTTGAAAAGGCATGTTGTTGTCACGTAAGGGCCCTGATTATGTTGCACAGACATTTTAATTGCATTTTGTGTCTGTTAATAGGAGCAAATGGCACTCTTTAGGATATGCCCCCAAAAAGTGTA